TGAAAAAGTAATTTTCTCAATGCTCTCCAATCCAAAAATAAACCAAGATTTGTGGATGGATCGATACCAAAGCTAATGTCAATTCCAAAAATTTTCAAGCTTGGATTCAGTTTAATGCACTCGTTAAATCGTTTCTTCTTAACTCGATTTCTAAAGAGTTGCAATAAGAAACAAGCCATGCCACGACTACATATGAAATTTGGAATGATTTTGAAGAGTAGGTTACTCGGAGAATTACACCCCGAGTATGTGCATTAAAGCGTATAATTGTCTGACAGTAAGAAAATTAAACTCTCTCCACGTATTATAGAAAAGTTAAAATACGTGTGGAGTGAGTTACAAAACCTTCGACACATCTGTGCTTATGCATGCAGAGCTACAAGAAAAATAGAGAAGATGCGTGAGGAGGAAAAAGTTTCTGATTTTTTAATGAGTTTGGATGATGATTATAGAACCATTTGATCTCAAATATTGAGAATTAAACCTTTACCACGACTTGAAAAAGCGTATGTCGTGGTTGCTGAAGATGAGAAATGGAGAAATATTGTTGCCACCTGAATTCCCTTTCTTGAGGCCACCGTTTGCCAGCAAAATCCAAATTGGGCCATGAGTAGGAGAGAGAACATCACAGTGGCAGTCTCCATGGCAGCCATCGTAGCAAAACAAATCACACTCGTGATGCCTGCTAGGCTTTCCACTGATATCCACCTGGCTGGAGAAAGCCTAGGTCACGAGGAAATTTGCAACACCCACGAACTGCACTTTTGACTTCTATAATTGATACGACAGGTGTAGGAGGCAACAATATTTCGGGACATTTTTTTTTAAACTCAATATAGTCACAGCAGCAAGCCCAATCTTCCTTTTTGGCCCATACAAGCCAGCAGCTGCAGTAGCCCAAATTCAGCAGCTACTTCAATTTTTGGGCCCTCAGTCTGGATCCTCAACAGGCCCATCAGTTAATGTGGTCTTCCAAAATGTTTATGATAAAGCATAAATTATTTACTATAAAACTAAAAAAAAAAAATGGATTTTTTTAAGAGTAATAAACAGTGATGAACACTATTTATTACTCTAGCTTATTTGTTTATTTATTTATTTTAATTTTCAAGTTATTTCATTTTAGTTTCTAAAAATTTAAAATAAAAATTTTAATCCTCCGACTAATGTACTACTCATGCTTTTTTTTTCTTCTTTAGCTTTTGTTTTTAATTGTTCTGTCAATTTATGTTTATTTATTTTTTTTATTTTATCTAATTGGGTGTTAAAATTTTGAAAAATTAAAATTTTCTTTGCTTTTTTTTCATCAATTTATGTTCTTTTTTTAATTTAATTGGGTGGTAAAATTTTGAAAATCAATTGTAACTTTTTTCCTCACAAACTGACGATTATATAATATACCTCTTTATATTTTAAAATTAAAATTTATTTCATTTTATATTACTCTTATTATTTAAATTTTATTATTTGAATTTATCATTTTTTTTTATAAAAATTATTTTCTAATTAATATTTTTATCTGAAATTTTATTTACTAATATTATATAATTTATTTTTCTTTATTTTTGAATTTTAGAATAAAATTTTAAAATATTATTTTCTTTCTTTTTAAAAAAATAAATTGGTATAATATATATCATGAATTCTTAGAATTTTTAAATGATTGTTGCATATATATAAATATATAATTATTTTATTCTAAAAGGTTAAAAGTATATTTCAAATAATTTATCTCAGTTCATAGGTATGGTCAAGACATATAAAAAAAATTATTGAAGCATTGATTTTATTAAAAATTAACTATACATATTTCAACATAATATAAATTATTTACTATAAATATTTTTTATCATTATAAAACCAGTTTATTTGGAATAAAATAATTAAAATATATATATTTTTAAAGGAACCAACCAATTATTGAAATACTATTTTTATACTAATTTTATTGATTATTTTGTAAATAAATATATATAGATCAAATGCATATACTTGAAAAAAAAAAAATCTTCTCACTAACACGAAATAAGACTAAAATTTTATTTTTTTATTGGTTAATTTTTATGTAAGTCTATACATTAATTGTAATTTTATTTTTTGGATACATTCTTATTAAAAAAAATATATTTTTTAAAGTATTTTTTTAATTCTTAATTAATATTTTAGGTTTAAATTATTGCAAGTTTTTATTTAAGAATCCCTGAATAATGAAGAATAAATCATGATTTTTTAAGTAGAAATTTTATGAAGAAAACATAAAAAAGTAATAATTAAATAAAAATTTAATGAAAAAATTATAACATTTTGAAATGATTTTTTTCTAGTTACCCATAGCATTGCACATATAATTTCAAAAATTAATCTTCTCATCAACATTAAATAAGAATTTCTTTTTCATTTTTTCTTTTGTACAAAAGTATGTCAATTAATTATAACTTTATTTTTTAAAATACAATATTATGAAAATTATATTTTTAAAGTTTTTTTTCAATTCTTTATTAATATTTTAGTTAAAATTATTATAAGGTTTAATTGTAAAATCAATCCATAAAGAAGAATGATCTATATTTTTTTTAAGCAAAAAATTTATAAAAAAATATTAAAAAATTAATTAAATAAAATATTATAATTAAAAAATTTTAAAATTTTAAAATAATTTTGTTCTACCGGACCCTCGATGTAGTACGGGCAAACGACTAGTTAATAATGGAACCACAGAACATATAGTTTCCAACACTAACTTTATGACTGATGTCCATAGAAATCCAAATATTCCTCCGATTCAAATTCTTAATGGAGCTTGCATTTCTTTTAAAGCTTTTTGCTAAGTCGAACTTGGTCCCAATTTAAGTCTTGAGAAAGTTTTGGAAGTGCCCAAATTTTGTTTTATTTTACTTTCAGTTAGTAAATTAATTCAAGATCTTAGTTGTGTTCTAATTTTTGAACTAGATTTTTATGTGATATAAGACTTATCTTCAAAAAAATTGATTAGAGTGGGTAGAATGTGGAATGGCCTGTATCATTTGGAGCTCGTAAAGGTAGGGAAGGTATTGACAAAGGGATACATTGTAGTAGATTTATGGCATCATTGTCTAAGACATATACCAATCAATCTGGTTTCACTAGTGCCAAATTTGTGGGAGATTGACTCATCGATATATTTTTTTTATGATGCTTGTTGTAGGCTAAACAAACTTACTTGCCTTTTGCAACTAGTTTGAATAAATCTAAGAAAACTTTTAATTTAGTGCATTATGATATCCATATCGCACTTTGTGTTATTCTGGGGCACATTATTTCCTTACAGTTATTGAAGATTACCATCATGCCACATGAGTTTTCCTTATGAGATACAACTTAGAGACCAAACACTACCTATTGCTTTATTTCAACCGGGTGCACACATAGTTTGATGCAATAGTCAAGATTTTTTTTTCGTATTGACAATGATCTTAAATTTACTCATTTGGATTTGATGAATTACTATTTTGACCATGGGATAAACATGTATACAAATTGCATAGTACACCGTAATAAAATGATATGATTGAATGAAAGCATAAATATCTTTTAGAAGTTGCTAGAGTTTTACGTTTTCAAGCCAACATCCCGATCAGCTTTTTAGGGTGAAAGCATCTTAACGATAGCTAATTTAATCAATCACATGCCAATTACCGTCTTGCATAACCAAGCACCTTATAAAGTTTTATACGAAAAACTATCCAGTTATGATCATATATGGAGTTTTGGATGTATTTGTTATAGGCATCTCCATAGTAGATATCGTGACAAATTTTCTTCCCAAATAAAACTAATCATCTTTATTGGATATCCACATGAGTAAAAGGGATACCAAATTTATGGTTTGGACATTCTCATAATCTACTCTTCTTATCATGCCTAATTTTTGGAAGAGATTTTTCCCATTTGCATCCCTTACAATTTCTATTGTTGATTCGCACGCAGAGAATGCAGTCTTGGATTTGTCTAAAAAGTACAACCCATTTGCTGAAATCCATGACATTCAGCCCAATTTAATTTCACCAACTGATCCAGCTTAGAGTGACCAGTCTGGGCATACTCATGTCATAATTGTTTCGGCCCATTCTAATCGCACGTAGGCTTCTATTCTTCCTCGCATACGGGCCCATCCACGCTTCACGCCCTGGCACGGCTGTTTCTTCGTAACCCGGTATTACAAATTCCATAAGGGATGTAGATGTTCCTCATGCTCGGTCTGATTCTAGCGATTATGGCTCTTTTGTTTCTGATTCCTCACCGTCTATCCGACCAGTTGATTTTAATTTTGGTGGGCTTTTATCTCATGATGGTCAGTCTGTTACTTCTTCAGTTGGGCATCCTATTCGCATTCTGCACTTATCTAAGAAACTTTTTGAGTTCCATCATACACTGCCACCTTCTCTCCTACCATCTACCACTTTGCACCCTACTTCCTATTTGGCTAACACAACGATTTATCTTTTATCTTATAATATTTTATATTTTAAATTTTTTAACAATCATAATGTTTTTTAAGGATCATTTCTTCCATCGATTTTTTTATCCCGTATCTATTTTCTTTTAATTCTTGAAAAAAAAACACAGACAAAAGAAATCAAAAGAAAAAGGAAGTGTGTAATTAAAAATTAATAGTTAAAATTAGTTCTAGGGGTCCAATTAAAAGAAATAAGAAGTTTGAAAACCATGAGAGACCCAATTGAGGGTACAATTAAAGGCTCAAAACCTCTGACCCTTAATTAAAATAAAAAAGGTAAAATTAAAAATAATTTAAAAGAAAAAGTCCCGATTAATTACAATTTAAGGATGTCATTGAAATTCAAATAATCAGAATCACACTTAAATTGATAAATTAGAAGGAATCAGGGATCAAAATTGACTTTTGCCCAAAAGTCCTAAAATCCGTCGATAAATACCCCTATCTCTTGCATTTTATTGATATTTTTCACTATTCATTCATCGCCCTTAACAAATTATTACAGCTAAATCTCTCTCTCTCCTGCCATTAAACCCGCATCCTTCACCTCGTTTTCAACCACTGTTCCACCTTTTTCTCTCCTATAATCGAACCACCTTATCACCCACCTCTCCCCTGCAATTGAACCAAATACTATTCATTATCTTAAAAAAAACCTCATCTAGTTGAATCTCTCTTTACTACAACTGAACAAGTGCCACCCACATCTTCCTCGCTTGACTGCCATCGATGCCATCCTCTTCGACCACCACTGATTCTAGCCCATTGTCGCCACAATCACCAGCTCGAACAGTCCTAGACCCATGGCTATCTAGCCAAGCACTAGCCATAGATCTAGCCTGAAACAACCCCAGACTTGTGACTCTCTTTTCTCTTTAGTCGTGAGCAGCTTCGCCACCATTCTTCTCTCTCCATCAACTAAACCACCAAAGCCCAAACCTCTACTTCCTCCACTCACAAAACTGCCAGCCCTCTTCTTCATTTCACCCGAACAACCCAAGTTTCTCTCTCCTCTAGCTTGCCTCTCCTTCCCTCACTCGAATTTTCCACCACCACACCAACCTCTTCATCTTCATCTTCATCTTAATCTTCCACCACCACACCAACCTCCTCCTTGATTGAACTATACCGACACACATGGCTAGCCTCCTTCTTTCATGATTTAAGTCTAAACACTTATTACTACAGCTTTAACCTTGGATAGAATCAAGAAAAAAGGAATGCAAACCTTATGGGTTGTTTTGTTAGTGACAATAACAAGAGTTTGATTAATTGTAGATAAATAAAACTTAAAAAAAAAACATTGTTTAGATTGTTAAGTTTCTCAAGAACAATATGATATTGTAAGCTGCATTTGTGTTTTGTTTTTAGCAAGAACAACATAAAAACTCATTTATTGCCAAGTTTGGCTAGTTGCAGTAAGCTTGACTTGTTGCTGTAAGTTGGCCAGTTACAGTAAGTTTGGTTATTGGCAGTAAGTTGGCCAATTACAACAAGTTTGGTCATTTATAGTAACTTTGTCAACAACCATCTCCTCTCCTTCCCTAACTATCCGAATAATTAATTATCATCAGGAACGAAGAAAGTAGAACCGAACCCCAAATTAGACCTTTGGATAATTCAGAGCCTTTTGAAATATTTTGAATAATTTTTGAACTTATAAAAGTTAGTTTTAACTACTAAATAAAAATGATGAAATTACCATGATGTGAATGATTAAACTATCAAATAGTTTGCTTGATTATGAATAAGATAATTGTCGTGTTTACTGCTATATGAGATTATGTTACCTATCTTTAACTAGTTAGAAAAGAGACCATTAGTGACTTTTCACCTATATAGATGAAGTTGTAGTGGCCTCAAAACTATTTTTATTTATAAACCAATCATTGAAATGAAGTCGTTGTTAACTTTTCACTTATGTGACAAAAGTCTGCTAGTGATTTTGAAATCATTTTACCTGGTTTTTTCTTATTAGAAAAGTGACCACAAGTGACATCTTATCTATGTGGACAAAATCGTCAATGACCCTAAAACCATTTTTATCCAAAAAATGATAATTGAAATGAAGGTATTGGTAATTTTTTACTTATATGATGAAGTCATCGGTAATTTCGAAAGTATTTTACCCGGTTTCTATTCATTAGAAAAGAGGCCATCAATGACTTTCCATCTATACGGACAAAATTGTCGGGTGTCCCAAAACCATTTTTATCCGAAAAATGATCATTGAAATTAAATCATTAGTAACTTTCCACTTATGGGATGAAGCTATTAGTGGTTTTGAAGTTGTTTTATATGTTTTCTACTATTTTGAAATAAAGTTTCCGGTAGTTTCTAAATCATTATTATCCTTTTAAATGATTTTTTTAATGGGTTTGAGTCATAAAAGACTTACCATTTTTATTCTTTTAGAATATCTTTGTCATGAGCTATAGTTACAAGAGACTCATTATTTTTATTTTGATAGAACATCTTTATCGTGGGCTATAATACTCGTCATTTTCTTTCCAAATGATTTTTTTTTTTATGGCTTGAGTCATAAAAGGCTTGCTATTGTTCTCCGATAGAACATCTCTATCATAGGTTACGATCACTAGAGACTCGCTACTTTTATTCGATCAAGCATCTCTATTATGGGTCTGCGGTCATAAGAGACTTATCATTTTTATTCGATTAAATATCTCTATTGTGGGTTGTAGTCATAAGTGACTCACCATTTTCTTTCCAAATGATTTCTTTTATGGCTTGAGTTATAAGAGACTCACCACTTTTATTCGAAAAAACATCTCGATTGTGGGTTGCAATCAAAAGTGACTCATCATTTTCTTTTTAAATAATTTCTTTTATGGCTTAAGTCACAGTGACTCATCACTTTTATTTTAACAAAACATCTTATGAGCTACGATCATAAAAGACTCATCTTTTTCTTTTAATGATTTCTTTTATATGCTCGTAGTTATAAGACACTTGCCGGTTTTATTCTATTTAAATGATTTTGTTGTTGTTGTTGTTGTTTTTTTTTTTTTTTGTTATTGGTGGTATTCCACTTGTGTAAATAAAGAGATGACCCCTTATCTTTTTACTTGTGTGAATCAAAATTACCAAGTAACTTGTTATTTATATAAATGAAGTTATTGTTAGTTCCTATCATTAGGCTCGTAATCCTAAGAGGCTTGTCTTTTGTCAATAAAGGATTATAGACATTAGGGGTTCGACTAAAATTCTAATTCCTATCACCTTTCCCCTTTTGAATATGGGTATTGATCTTGGATCAACTTATACCATGAATTACTTAATTAGTCCATCCTAATAAAATAAATTCATTCAAATAGGTATAGAAACATAACATAGTAAAACTAGACTTTTATTTTTACATGCAAACAATGCAGACTTACCTCTAATAGGATGGGATGATGGTGATGTTATATCTTCTCTAAACATAACCAATCCCTTATCCGGATATCTATATAAACTAATTTGTTTAGGATTTTTTAGTTCTTCTTGATTAACTAGGTGGTGACTCCATATCCTTGCGTTTTCTTGCAGGCCTCAATCGATAGAATAATGATTCCATTAGTGATATGCCATGCTAGGGTCAAGCTTTGAATGTCCGTGTTAATGAATTTCTAGATGTTTGTTATGCATTTTTGCCTATATATTTTAAGTGAATAATTGCCATTTAATTGTTTGTCTATTTTTATGTTATGAAAATATGCATATATCCGACATTGTTTATGGTTTTTTTTTTTACCGAATTAGTTGTCTAATTTTTAACCTTTTATTTTATGATGAGACTAGATATGGAGTCATGCCTCACACACGACACTACATCTATATATTTGAATTGTATATATTTTATCTCGGGATTTAGGGAGTTAGTAGTGGTGCTACGATAGGTTTTGCTCGGGTGAACACTCATAAAACCTTAAGCCTTCTTACTAATTGTCATTGGTGATGGGTAATCGATGATTTTATGATTGCTAATGTCATCGTGGACAATCTTAGTGACCTTACTAAAGGTTCACTAGGTCGGAAGATACCCTTTTGAAACTTAGATAAAATCAATATACTCATGTAATGATTAGAATCAAACCCTAGGACTATCTTTTCTTGGTCAAATACACCGGGCAAGTCGAATGTGTTTAAAGCTTTGACTAAAATAATTTGGTCACGATGTTTTAAGATGGGTGATAAAAGAGCTCAAATATAGTTTAAGCCGATATCGGTCTTCCAAATAGAATCCAAAGCTCTTCAATGAGTAGAAAGAGACTGCCTTCAAAAGGAATTTTAGAGTGATCATTAGTTGATAACCAAACTAGAGTCGATAATTAACGAGTATAAACAAACTTCTTGAATGTTGGGAGCTTTTGACTATTGATGAGAAATGAATGTTCAAGCACAAATATGAAGGCTTGACTCCACCGACGGAGATAACATTCCGTAAGCCCATATTGAGGCTCTCATCTCTCTATGGGACCCCTCATATCATTTCTTCACTATAAGAAACCCGGATGAGTACCATTAATTGCCACAAATGTAGAATCCTTTATATCAAGTCTATATTTACCACCAATATAACAAAGTAGGTAAAAGAGTTAAAAATTAGCTAGATGGAATCATGAGTCGAGCATGAGCTAAAGGTGCCACTAATAGATGGAATGATGAGGCACTATTGGATGTGTTCACATAAAGCTTGAGCACATATTGTTAGTTTAAAGAAATTTTAGGTTATAGGTCCGTGTATTTTTTATTTGATTCTATTTTCATCCTCTCGTCAAATTGATCAGTCTTGATCTTGCTAACATTTTTTATAGAGACAAAAAAGAACTCGGTTAAACCTACTATTGTTATTTTAGCCAAGATCATCCTGTCACTAAATCATTACTAAAGATTTGGTAAAAGTGGGATAAGATGCTTTGTATAATTATTGTGCATTTGAATGATTAGTCATATGAGAGTACATAAATCAATCTTTTATTCTATCTAATGAAAAGATCAGTAGCTTGGAAGAACCATATTGAGCAAGAATAAAATGCCTTGATACTCGACCTACCTAATGCCTAATTCTTATGGAAGGCCATTTGGATGATTCAAGCATCATATTTAGCTTACTCGTGGATCTTTTCCTTAGGTCCTTTTGGTTGGATCAATAGGCTATATGAGCTATGCTTTTAGCATCGTGTTGAGACAACTAGGTTATGAATAATACATCTTAAAAATGATTGGCTTGGATGGCTTTGAAGGGAACTTGAAAAAGAAGGTTTCATCTCGGATTCCTAAGTTGCATCATAGAAGATTGATTACACGTAGAATATGGGTGGTAAGATAGATGGTCATGAGATAGCCACCACCAAAGCTTATCCATTATGGTAAGCTGCAAGGAAAAAAGACATAGGTCCCAAACCAAACCAAGGTCAAGATAGATAGGTTCCAATGTATAACCATTAAGCTAGTCAAGAAACCCTAATCTCTACTAGGATCGAAAATCCTTCAAGACCATCTAAAGTTGGGTTTGGCCAATCTACTCATAAAAGTAAGTCTATCCCTTTACAATTTCTAAATGTCTTACTAGCCGATCTAAAGAAAAAGGAGAAAAATAGACGATCTCTTAAAATTGACTTCTTCAAACTATTATAATCTTAATAGAAAAATAGAGTTACTTAAGATTAAGAATTAAAAGCTAGCTAGCAACCTAGTCGAAAAGAAAAGAAAGAGGAAAAAAAAAGATTCTAGATCTAGAATAAGACTTCAAATCTTACAAAGCATATTTACCAAAGACAAATACTAGAAATTGCTTTGTCATTGAGCTTAAGCAGAATTAAACTCA